ACTCCATTTGGTGCTTGGCTGAGTTCTTTATCTCTTCATTTGATGTTTTAGGGTCTCAGGATTGTCGTTTTCTCTGTTCGGCTTAGTTTTTCAGATCTTTGCTGTGGAGGGACGGCGTGGTGCTTCTGCCTAGAGCACCATTTTGCCGGAAGTCCTCAAACACTTTTGAACATGCGCTTTAACCACATATATAAATATTTTTCTCATTTCTAATAATTTATTCCTTCTTCTATGTAAATTTTACTTTCTCTTTCTAGCATCTGAGAAAGGCAAAGTAGGAAAATCTTTAAAAAAAAAAGTAATAAAACACTATTAAAGTAATACATATCCAATGTAAGAAAAACAAAATCTAAAAATGTGCATCAGATACAATAACGGAGTCCTCGCCCTTCTCCCCAGCCCCACAAACCCCATGTTCCCCAGGCGGCTGCTGATTACAGGCCTATGGATCTCTGACTACACTCTCTGGCAGAAACAGTCTATATCTCAAAAATTATGTTGTACAGTTAAAATGTGTCCCCCAAGACAGAAGTAGAATTTTCTTAATTATTTTAAGCTTTTTATTAAAATGAAAGGACCCCTGGTGGCACAATGGTTAAGTGCTTGGCTGCTAACTTACTAGAGGCTCTGAGGGTGAAAGAGCTGTTGATCTGCTCCCATAAAGATTAAGCAAAGAAAACCCTATGGGGCAGTTCTACTCTGTCACATGGGTTGGCTTCGAGTAGAAATCGACTCAACGGCACCCAATAACAACATTTCATCAAGGTGACGAGAGGAAATGTCATGTCAAAGTTTAAAAAATGAAAAAACTCCCTTGAGGGGCTGTCATGGATTGAACTGTGTCCCCCAAAATATGTGTATCAATTTGACTAGGCCATGATTCCCAGTGTTGATGTGATTTTCCTATGTGTTGTAAATCCTAATCTTGGCCTGTGGTTAACGAGGCAAGGTAGATTATGGTAAAGGGGATTAGGGTGGGGTGTAACATCCTTGTTCTGGTCACATCCCTGATCCAATGTAAAGGGAGTTTCCCTGGGGTGTTGCCTGAACCACCATTTATCTTACAAGAGTTAAAAGGAAAGGGAAGCGAGCAGAAAGGAGGGGACCTCACACCACCAAGAAAGCAGCACCTAGAGCAGAGCACGTCCTTTGGACCCGAGGTTCCTGCCCGAGAAGTTCCTAGACCAGGGGAGGATTAATGACAAGGACCTTCCTCCAGAGCCAACAGAGACAGAAAGCCTTCCCCTGGAGCTGACGCCCTGAATTTGGACTTTTAGCCTATCAGACTGTGAGTGAGAGAATAAATTTCTCTTTGTGAAAGCCATCCACTTGTGGGATTTCTGTTATAGCAGCACTAGATGACTAAGACAGGGGTGGTGCGGCAATTGTATGAATCCACTGAAGCTCATCTGTCATACCCTGGTTACAGGGCTAACGGCTACAACTCACGACCAAGGGGCATGGATGAAGGCAGTTTTATGCATTAAAAGCCACAGCAGAATCAAACAAGCTTGCTTTTGAGAAATAAGGATGGGGTGGAAAGGAAATGCAAGCAATTGTTGCTTTTATCATCAGCTCTACTGAACTTTTGTATTTCCAAAGCAGGTTCAGGTTTTATTTTAGGAAAAAATATCGAGAATTTTAAGAAAATTGCTAGGATACATGATAGAGAAAACTCAATTTTCAAAGGTCAAATAAGAACTCAATAGATATTAGTTCTGATTAGTTTTTAGGTAGTTAGGTGAATGAGCAATTGCACACCTGTAAATATTTGCAAAGGGACAAAATGCAGAAAGCAAGCTTTAAACAAACTCTGTTATGAAAGACGACACAATGTTCATGTTTGATTGGTGTCCCACTGACTGTAATTCAGGCACAAAGTTAAAAATGAGAAATCAAACATTCTGAGCTCCTGAGGAATTCAACACACCCACAGACAGTATTTTTCTTTCATTATTTCCCTGAGTTATTTCCTGAGATTCCATTCCATTTCTTTGAATTAAGCAGAAATATATACTTTTGCTGTTGATCTGACTCAGGGAAGGGCAAACTACTGCCTGTTTTTGTACACAAAGTTTTATTGGAAAGCAGCTCACTCATGTGCATTTTGTCTGTGGCTGCTTTCTTGCTGCAAGGGCCAACCAATATTTACTGTCTGGCTCTTTACAGAAAAAGTCTTCCTACCCCCGATCTAATTCCCCTAAGACAATGTATGTTGTTGCTACTAGCTGCCGTCCACTTGGCTCTTACTCATGAGGACCTTACGTACAGTAGAAGGAAATGTTGTCCAGCCCTGCACCATCTTCATAATCGTTGGTATGTTGAGTCCATTTTTGTAGCTACCGTATCAACAATCCATCTGATGGAGGGTTTGTCTCTTTTTTGCTGGCCTTCTACTTAACCAAATATGATGTCCTTCTCTAGAGATAGGTGTTTCCTGATGACGTGTCCAAAGTAAGCGCGTCTAAGTCTCACCATCCTCGCTTCTAAGGAGCATTCTGGTGTATTTTTTCTAAGACTGATTTGTTCTTTCGGCAGTCCACGGTATATTCAATGTTCTTCGCCAACACCACAGTTCAAATGCATCAATTCTTCTTCCGTCTTCCTTTTTCATGATCCAACTTTCATGCGCACATAATGCGATTGAAAATGTCATGGCTTGCGTTAAAATGTAAGGAATTCTGTATCCTTTCTGGCTGTCCTTCTAGTCTAGAATGATGAGTCAAATACACTGATTTGTTTTCTCCTCTGCTCCAGGATTAATGAGATTAGTCCTCACAGCACCCAAGTGCTAACCACCACCTTGTTCTCTTAGACCTGAGGTCCTCAGAGTTTATTACATTTTTCAAAGTGTTTCAAGTACTATCATTCTCTCCACAGCTTCCTCCACAAGCCTTCCCTGACCTTTGCTACCAAGGAATCTTCGCTGAGCTGAATCAAATCTTTTCAGGTAGAAATAACCCCTCCCCTCTGAAAGCCACATCGCTCGTGTGTGCCTTTCTTGTGAACATGCCACCTTCTACCTTGCATTAAAGTTTCTCAAGTGTGCCTGCAAGTGCCTGAGGGCAGAACCTTTCCTTATTTGTCTTTGTGATCCCCAGTACAGTCATGCGTCACTTAATGTCCATAATACGTTCTGTGAATAAGGAAGCAATGTGATTTGGACGTTGTGCAAACATTATGTGTTATGGCCTGAATTGTGTCCCCAAAAAATGTGTGTCAACTTGGCTAGGCTATGATTCCCAGTATGGTATGGTTGTGCTCCAATTTGTGATCTGGCATGTTGTAAATCCTAACCTCTATGTTAATGAGGCAGGATTAGAGGCAGTTTTCCTAACGAGGCAGGACTCATTCTACAAGATTAGGCTGTATCTTGAGTCAATCTCTTTTGAGATATAAAAGAGAGAAGCAAGCAGAGAGGAGATGGACCAACATCACCAAGAATGAAGAGCCGGAAGCGGAGCGTGTCCTTTGCACCCAGGGTCCCTGTGCTGAGAAACTCCTAGACCCAGGGGAAGATTGATGACAAGGACCTTCCTCCAGAGCTGACGGACAGAGAAAGTCTTCCTCTGGAGCTGGGGCCTAAATTCAGACTTCTAGCTTCCTAGACTATGAGAGAATAAATTTCTGTTTGTTAAAGCCATCCACTTGTGGTGTTTCTGTTACAGCCGCACTAGATGACTACGGCACCATGTTAATTAGCAAAGTATACACCGTTCCTCAGCTTCTGTCCCAATCTCAGTTCCCCTAATTCAGCAGCTTCTCCAGAGTGCCTCTCCAACCCCTCTTCTCTGGCCCCAGATCCCACTCTCCATACCCTTTGGAGCCCTCCCGCAGCCCCTGCCTCTTGGTCCCTTCACCAGTGTGCCTGCCTTCCTGAGCCCCGCATCCTGCTGGAGCCCAGCTGCACTAACCCGATTCGGAAGAGCAACCGCTCACTGTGCACCATGAGCAGGCGGCGGCGGTTCTGCCAAGCATGGCAGCCGCTCAGCCACAGAGCCCAACCACCCAGCCTACCTTATTGAGGTTCACTGGCCTCCAACGACTTGTCCCCACAACTGCAGGGGACTCCGTCTTCCCTTCCTCCTCCCTCTGCCCCTTTCTTCCTGGGTCCAGACAAGCGCATACACTTAGCCATATATACTTAGCCATATATACCATATATTCTTAGCAAAGCTATATGGGACCACGGATATACATGCAGTCAGACGTTGCCTGAACGGACGTTATGCGGCACATGACTATACATTCAACTGCACCTCCTTCAGTAGCTCTTGTGGAATGGATGAATGTTGAATCTTGAGAGTTAATGCTTCATTTTTAAAAAAATTTATTGTAAGTACATGTGTAACAAAATATTTGCCATTCCAACAATCTTCACATGTCCAGTTAAGTGACATTAATTATGTTAACCGTGTTCATCCATCACCACTATCCATTTCCAGATTTTTCCATCACACTTAACAGAAGCTCAGTGTCCCCTAAAGTTTCATTTCTTTTGAGGATTAGAAATCTTTTCTTCTCCGAAGTACCTATCCACAGCATGGATTTCATATTTCAAATAAGTCTCAGGCCAGCTTTCCCATAGCCCTAAGGTACCTAGCCAAAAGAGCAAACAAATCAGTTTTAGAAGAAATACAACCAGAATGCTCCTTAGAGGCAAAGATGGTGAGACTTCGACTTGCTTACTTTGGACACGTCATCAGGGAAGACCAATCGCTAGGAAAGTATATCTTGCTTGGTCGAAGGTCAGCGAAAAAGAGGGAAACCCTCAACAAGACGGATTGACATAGTCGCCACAACAATGGACTCAAACATACCAACGACCATGAGGATGACGCAGGACCAGTGTTTCGTTCTGTTGTACGTGACATCGCCAGGAGTCCGAGTGGACTGAATGGCAACTAACAGCAACGATGTATCTAGTTTCATTAGATGCTCTTAAACAAAGCAAGCTGCCCAGAAACATTGTCCCTGTAGATAAGAGAGACCTCACTGACCAGACACTGCCCATATGGCCTCCTCCACTTGCTGGGGGCATTCAGTGATGTTATAGATAACAACATCACACTCCATCAGGCGCATGAGAAGTTCTTCTCGAGAGAGGGCCTGAAAAAGAAAATTGACAGTGCTTTGTTGCAAGAAGCTAACAAGGTAACCTGAATATTTAGACTGAACGACAATTTCCAAATTAGATGTGCTGCGTTGAAGTGTCCCATGAGAAACGTTTGCAGGAGGTGTTTTATTTCACAGGAGATTCTGGCTCTCTGCTGTGTGCGGCTTTCAAATAACAGTTTATGAAAACAGCCTGGAACAGATGATTTAAAAATTGCATAATGATCTTAGGTGCTATTTCTGCATGCTGTTTAAACTCCAGTTCAGAGGGGGAGAATCAGAAAACGCTAGAAGAAATACAGCATTTAACACGAACTCAAATTCTATGCAAGATTCTTTGAGCAATCTGAGATCATGAATTGCTCAGAAGTGCTGCCGAGTGGTTAATCTAGACTGTTTCAGAATCCTCGGGATGGAATTTATCCGGTCTTTTTCTAGATGTAAGGGGCCTTATTGCAGTTGACAGTTGAGAACATTCTAAAAACACAGAAACTTTTAATGGTTAAAAAGGAAACAATCTCACATTAGACAAAAGGAAGGTCGATATCAGTGTGTTTTAACGCGTGTTTGCTGTGCCTGAGTCAGCACACTTCCCAACAGTGCAGTACTGTGGCGGGTATTAAGATCACCACGAAAGGATGCTTCATTTCCAAAGCTGCGTTTACATTTTCTGTTATCCCCACGGTCTTGAGGATCAGACATCCCCACCCCCCACCCCCCCGCCCTTCAGTCCCTGACCAGTTGCGTTAAGCAGGACACCGGATCACACTTGTTCTCTTTCCACACAACCTGGCTGGAGAACAAAGGGAAGTGGACTGATTTCCTTGCTGACCGGCAGACCTGCCCAGGCGCCATCACCATGCCCTAAATCGGCACTAGGACTGCTGGTTTCCCCAGCTCCGCTCTCTAAGCTCTAAGCTCTAAGCCCCCAGGCATCCCGTTTCTCTTCTGGCCTAAATGTGCAGGAGACTCCCTGCCGGGGCTCATCGGAACATCAACGTTTTACATTGTCGACACGTGGCAGTGTGAGAGGAGACGGCCCTCCGTGTACACCTGCGACAGATCTAGGTTCAGGAATGACACACGAGGGAAAGGCAGAAGGGCAACTGGAGGAAGCACCTGTAGTCCAGACCTGCAAAAGCACGGGAGGCCGGCGCCCAAAGACAAACACGCAGGCTTGCTCAGTTCTAGCGGGACTTATTTAGGAGGAAACGGGCGTATTTTCAAGCAAAGAGTCGTCCTGCCCAGATGTTGAGAGACTATGCTCATGAATGCATTTGTTCAGCCAGCAAACATTTGTGGGCACTGTTTTGGATCCTGGGGGGATACAGGCAAAATGAATAATATATGGTTGCTGATACTGAGGAGTGTCTGTGTGTGTGTGTGTTGTTAGGAAGACTTTTAGCAAACAATTATAGTCTTGTGCACACAAGGACATCTTTGTTCATGTGAAGCCTTAGCACGAATTAGAAAAAGGCCAGCTGCTCTCGGTGGGAAGCTGTAAGAAGGCAGCCACTGTAGGACGCGGGGAGCCAGTAGAACAGGCTGCTTCCCAGCCCCCACCTACACCCTTGGCTGGGCACACTTGTGCAGTGCGCGACCTGTTCAGCCTTACGCAGCAGGCCCACATCTGTGAAGGGCTGTCACAGAGGCACATCTGAGATGTGAGGGACTAGGAGGAAGCCGTGACTATGTCTCTAAGGAGTCAGCATTTGAGCTGGGTCGGAAAGGTGAACACGAGCTCGCCTGGTAAGCCCGGGACGCCCTGAGCCGGGCAGAGGCACCTTTGACAACCTGGACCAGCCTAACTTTTTCCATCCTCCACGCTCCCTCCCCGTTCATGCAATGCTTGCTTCCTTCCCGTGGCCCTCACAGCCCACGCTCTGGCTATGCTGGTACTGTCTGTGCCTTAGCATGCCGCCGTACGCTTTCCCACGTGTGACACATCTTAGATGTGGTGAAATTGTGCACTACGGATTAGTAAGCACAAGGGAGCCCGTGCGTACCCTGCTTACTGGGTCATCCGTCCCTAGTGTTCCCCTTCGCGTGGCATTTCCTTGCTCCCTTAGGTGCCTGGCAAGCTCACAATCCCCCTGGAGGCCCAGCCTGGGCTCTGACACCACCAGCAGACCCCTGGGCCCAAGGAGGCTCCCCTGCAGCACTTTCGTATGTACTGATGGAGGCCCCAGGCCAGTGGCAAGTGAAGACCCGGGAGAAAGAAAGGGGGTAGGTGGTGAAGAATGGTCCCAAAGACGGCGGGAGGGACTCATGTATTCACGTCACAAACGTTTATTGAGGACCTACAGATGCTGTGCTTGGTGCAAAGATGCTCAGACAAACCAGAAAATAAATAAGACATAATCTCTAGCCTCAAGGAGCTGACAGCTGTTGTCGGTGGCTCCACATAGACATGTAATAACAACAGAGTGTGAAAAGGGTTATGATATAGGCAGGTAAAGCATGCTATATCAGCACAAGAAGAGAGCCCAGAATCCAAACTGGGAGGGGAAGAGAAGTAGGAATCATGGCCAGCTTCCTGGAGGAGGTGACATCTGAGTTAAGTCTTGAAAGGGGAATGGGGCTGGTTGGGTGAGAGAAGAGAACAGCTGTGCTGTGTACTGAGTGCAGAGCCTACAGGAGGGTTCAGACAGCGGCAGGTGGGGTAGTGGAGTAGCTGCCTTTGGAGGAGAAAAGGAGCACCCTTCTCAGATCCAGTTAAATGTCCCCGGCTGAGGACGGTGGAGAGTTGTCAGGTGTGGGTAGCACTGTTTCTCAGGCAGAGAGCATACAGCCAGGAACCAGCTGCCATGGGGTCGACTCTGACTCACGGCGACCCCACGTGTATCAGTGTAGAACTGTGCTCACAGGGGTTGCAATGGCTGATTCTTCTAAAGCAGATCACCAGGCCTTTCCTCTGAGGTGTCTCTGGGCGGATTTGAACCGCCAACCTTTTGGTTAGTAGCCGAGTGTTTGTGCCCAGGGACGCCCCCCGTCTTTACTCCCAACTTACAGAGTACGTCTCCACCGCAAACTCCAGACGGATGCTTTCGGACTTGGCAAGTGTGCCCACAATCTGGAAAGTGCCTTCCTTGAGTTTGGCTGATGCGGCTTCTGGGGCAGCTGACTTATTTTCATCTTCCTCTTCCTCCTCGTCTGTAATTTCTTCAAGTGAAGCTCCGACTACACAGTTGGATAGAAACTACAAAAAAAAAACAGAAAGTTCCCAAATACTAAGAACGAATTAGAGTAACAGCAGTTGTTATGGATTGAATTGTGTCCCCCAGAAATAGGTGTTATAAATCCTAACCTCTAGTCCTGTGGTTAGAATTTGGGAATGGGTTTTTTGTTATGTTAACGAGGCAGTATCGGTCTAGGGTGTGCCTTAAGAAAATCTCTTTTGAGATAAGCAAGCAAGCAAGCACAAATGGAGGGGAAGGTACATGCCACAGGATTGCCAAGGAACCAAGGAATGGAAGCTGACTGAGACCAGACCTTCCCCCTGAGCCCACAGAGAGAGAGCCTTCCCAAGAGCCGGCGCCCTGAATTTGTACTTCTAGACCCTTGAACTGTGAGAGAATAAGTTTCTGTTTGTTAAAGCCCCCCACTTGCGGTATTTCTGTTAGAGCAGCACAAGGTAATAAAGACAGTAGTCAATGAATGATTGTTCTAGAAGCCAACATTTACCCAGGGCTCACTCTATGCCATCGGGCAAAGTACACGCTTGGCACAGCATTGTCTCATTTAAATGGACTTAATGTTCACAGTCATACAGTGAGATGGGTACTGCTGTTACCCCATTTCAGAGATGAGGATCTCAGGCTCACAGCATTCAATAACTTGTTTAAGGGCGCTACCCCTTCCTAGCTATAGGCAGAGCAGGGATATAGTCAAAATGTCTGTCTTGTTCAACAGAAATATAGAAATATAATATGGACCAATTAGGTCATTTGATATTTTTCTAGTAGCCACATTAAAAAAAAAGTAAAAAGAAACAGGTGATACTAAATTTAAATAATATTTTAATTAACACAATATATCTAAAATGTTACCAATTTAATATGGTAATACTACTAAAATTATTAATGAGATATTTTACATTTTTTGTGTTCACACTAAGACTTTAACATTCGATGTGCGTCGTACACTTGCAGCACATCTCAGGTTGGACAAGCCACATTCAAGTGCTCCACAGCCATAATCAGACAGAAAGAGCTTGGTGAAGTTTCTGTTCTTGTTTTAAAAAAGCTATCCTCGGAAGTGGCTTAGGCAATGTTGAACAGTTTCTTGTGTAAATGAATTATTTTTATTTTAATTTATATACTAAATGTTGTTGTCAGGTGCCGTCAAGTCAGTTCTGACTCACAGAGACCCCGTGCACCACAGAACGAAACCCTGCCCGGTCCTGCGCCATGCTCACAATCGTTGTTATGCTTGAGCCCCTTGTTGCAGCCACTGTGTCAATCCATCTCGTTGAGGGTCTTCCTCTTTTTTGCTGACCTTGTACTTTACCAAGCATGATGTCCTTCTCCAGGGATTGGTCCCTCCTGACAACATGTCCAAAGTATGGAAGACGTAGTCTCACCGTCCTTCCTTCTAAGGAGCATTCTGGTTGTAGTTCTTCCAAGACAGATTTGTTCGTTCTTTTGGCAGTTCATAGTGTAGTCAATATTCTTCACCAACCCCACAATTCAAAGGCATCAATTCTTCTTTGGTCTTTCTTATTCAATGTCCAGCTTTCGCATGCATATGAGTGATTGAAAACACCACGGCTTGGATCAGGCACACCTTAGTCCTCAAGGTTACATCTTTGCTTTTCAACACTTTAAAGAGGTCTTTTGCAGCAGATTTACCCAATGCAATGCGTCTTTTGATTTCTTGACTGCTGCTTCCATGGGTGTTGATTGTGGATCCAAGTGAAATGAAATCCTTGACAACTTAAGTCTTTTCTCCATTTATCATGATGTTGCTTATTGGTCCAGTTGTGAGGATTTTTGTTCTCTTTATGTTGAGGTGTAATCCATACTGAAGGCTGTGGTCTTTGATCTTCAACAGTAAGTGCTTCAAGTCCTCTTCACTTCCAGCAAGCAAGGTTGTGTCATCTGCTTATCGCATGCTGTTAATGAGTCTTCCTCCAATCCTGATGTCCCTTTCTTCTTCATATAGTGCAGCTTCTTGGATTATTTGCTCAGCATACAGACTGAATAGGTATGGTGAAAGGATGCAACCCTGATGCACACCTTTCCTGACTTTAAACCATGTATTATCTCCTTGTTCTATCAGAAGAACTGCCTCTTGATCTGTGTACAGGTTCCTCATGAGCACCATTAAGTGTTCTGGAATTCCCATTCTTTGCAATGTTATCCATAATTTGTTATGATCCACACAACCGAATGTCTTTGCATAGTCAATGAAACACAGGTAAACATCTTTCTGGTATTCTCTGCTTTCAGCCAGGATCCATCTGACATCAGCAGTGATATCCCTGGTTCCACGTCCTCTTCTGAATCTGACCTGAATTTCCGGCAGTTCCCTGTCGATATATGCTGCAGCAGCTTTTGAATGACCTTCAGAAAATTTTACTTGTGTGTAATATTAATGATATTGTTCGATAATTTCTGCATTCGGTTGGATCACCTTTCTTGGGAATAGGCATAAATATGGATCTCTTCCAGCTGGTTGGCCAGGTAACTGTCTTCCAAATTTCTTGGCATAGATGAATGAGCACTTCCAGCGCCACATCCATTTGTTGAAACATCTCAATTAATATTCTGTCAATTCCTAAGCCTTGTTTTTCGCCAACGCCTTCAGTGCAGCTTGGACTTCTGCCTTCAGTACCATCGGTTCCTGATCATATGCTACCTCCTGAAACGTTTGAACGTCGACCAATTCTTTTTGGTATAATGACTCTGTGTTTTCCTTCCGTCTTCTTTTGACGCTTCCTGCATCATTCAGTGTTTTGCCCACAGAATCCTTCACTACTGAAACTCTAGGCTTGAATTTTTTCTTCAGTTCTTTCAGCTTGAGAAATGCTGAGCATGTTCTTCCCTTTTGGTTTTCTATCTTCAGCTCTTTACACATGTCATCGTAATACTTTACTTTGTCTTCACGAGCTGCCCTTTGAAATCTTCTGTTCAGCTCTTTTACTTCATCATTTCTTCCTTTTGCTTTAGCTACTCAACATTGAAGAGCAAGTTTCAGAGTCTCTTCTGACATCCATTTCAGTCTTTTCTTTCTTTCCTGTCTTTTTAATGACCTCTTGCTTTCTTCATGTATGATGTCCTTGATGTCATTCCACAGCTCTTCTGGTCTTCGGTCATTAGTGTTCTACACATCAAATCTATTCTTGAGATGGTTTCTAAACTCAAGTGAGATATACTCAAGGTCGTACTTTGGCTCTCGTGGACTTGTTCTAATTTTCTTCAGTTTCGACTTGAACTTGAATATGAGCAATTGATGGTCTGTTCCGCAGTCAGCCCCTGGTCTTGTTCTGACTGATGATATTGAGCTTTTCCATCATCTCTTTCCACAGATGTAGTTGATTTGATTCCTGTGTATTCCATATGGTGAGGTCCATGTGTATAGTTGCCATTTATGTTGGTGAAAAAATGTATTTGCAATGAAGAAGCCATTGGTCTTGGAAAATTCCATCATGTGCTCTCCGGCATTGTTTCTATCCCCAAGGCCATAATTTCCAACTACCGGATCCTTCTTCTTTGTTTCCAACTTTTGCATTCCAATCACCAGTAATTATCAATGCATCCTGATTGCATGTTCGATCAATTTCAGACTGAAGAAGTTGGTAAAAATCTTCAACTTCTTCATCTTTGGCCTTAGTGGTTGGTGAGTAAATTTGAATAATAGTCGTATTAACTGGTCTTCCTTATAGGCATATGGACATTATCCTATCACTGACGGTGTTGTACTTCAGGATAGATCTTGAATATGATGTATTAATTTATATATTAAACATACATAATCATAATGTTACCATAGCTTGGCAACAAAAACAAACATACCAAAACCAATCAAACAAAAAGTCCCACTTCATTCGTTCTAATAATTTAAAAAAACAGTCCAAGTAATTCAGACTTTTTGGAGCTATGGAGGCTGGATGACCCTCTGATACTATTGCCTTGAGATAATCTTTAAACTTTAAATCAAAAAATCCCCTGAAGTCTTCTTAAAACCAAACAACTGTTTAGCTTAACTAGTAAAGAATGTCTGTATTGAGCACTGTGCTCTTTTATGATCTATCTATATGGGAATAATTGACAACAGCAACTCGAAAGATTAGATGGAAAACCTAGGGGGCAGTGAGTTTATGTTAATGGGGGAGGAACAACTCGGAAAGGAGGGTGAGAATGGTTGCACAACTTGAAGAATGTAATCAATGTCACTGAATTGTACAGGTAGAAATTGTTGAATGGGTATACGTTCTGCTGTATATATTCTCAACAACAACAAAAATAAAATAAATTATAAAAAAAGCATATAAATGGATTAAAGATTTTACTATTGGAAGAAGAAAAAAACAATCCAAGTTAGCATGAAAAGTTGTCAGGTTCTACCTTATTGGAATATGTTTCTCCCACGTATGATACTTTGCACGTGCTTACAAAGTCACACCACTCACTCACACCTACATACTTATGTATGTGTATGTGTATACATTGAAAGCTGGACAATGAATAAGGAAGACTGAAGAACTGATGCCTTTGAATTATGCTGTTGGCGAAGAATATTGAATAGACCATGAGCTGCTAGAAGAACGAACAAATATGTCTTAGAAGAAGTACGGACCGAATGCTCCTTAGAAGCAAAGATGGCGAGACTTTGTCTCACGTACTTTGGACACGTTGTCAGGAGGGACCAGTCTCTGGAGAAGAACATCATGCTTGGTAAAGTAGAGAGTCAGTGAAAAAGAGGAAGGCCCTCAGTGAGAAGGATTGACACAGTGGCTATAACAATGGGCTCATGCATAGCAACGATTGTGAGGATGGCGCAGGACCATGGAGTGTTTCTTTCTGTTGTACATGGGGTCTGTATGAGTCGGAACCAACTTGATGGCACCTAACAACAACAATGTGTATATGTATTATATATATCATACATGTGTATATAATATGTATATGTATATATTCATTTAGCTCTCAAACATACATATCCAATTTTATTATCCCATTTCACAGATGAGGAAAT